CGCTGTCTTGACATTGTAAGTTGACAAATCTAAGAATAATTTTGGTTGATTGAGTGACTATTGCTGTGCTGTAAATACTTGTAGCTAACATAAAGCAAAGGAAATGGACAACAAAGATGTAAGTGCAAATCTAAATACAATGATGTTCATCATTCTACAGATCTTCTAAGTAATGAGTTACTCAAAGCCAACTGTTTGTTTTTCTCTAGGCTGGTTATTCCAAACCCGTAATTGCAGAAGTGGCTATGTTGCTTAGGTTGGGAGAACCTCCATTATGTCCCAACATCATCAAATTACACCACTGGATTGAGAATAAGAGGAGCTTCGTGCTCATTATGGAGTACCCGCAACCATGCTGTACCTTGCATCAGTACATCACATATTCAGATGACGTGAATGAAGGAAAAGCACGCTGGTTAATCTGTCAGTTAGTCCAAGCTGTGAAACACTGCATTGACCGTGGAGTCTTCCATGGTGATATCCACACGGGGAACATCCTGGTGACTGACCACAATTTGGAGCTCAAACTAATTGACTTTGGTTGTGCTTATCCAATCAGCAGTGAGTGCGTTCTCAGCAGTGTATATCGAGGTATGTTTCGTGTTCCCATAGCAGAGTGCAGTGTCATTGATCACAGTATTGTCTTTTTGATAACAGCATTGCTCAACACTAAAAATGTTTCTCTTACAGGAGCACCACTCTACACCCCACCTGAGGTCATAGGGCATACCAAATTCTACGCTGAACCAGCATATGTCTGGGCAATAGGTGTTGTGCTGTTTGAAATCTTGCACGGGTATTTGCCATTTGGAAGCCAAGACGAAATACTGCGTGACTATGTTAAAGCGAAACTGACTTTATCCTCAGGTAAACGCAACAGACACCTCTTTACAGTCTCTGAGTCTCAGTGGCTATGTTTACATGCAACCAAATGATTGATGGCTCAATCGGACTGAAAAGCCTTCATGTAAACATCTTAATCGATCCGATTGAGCTCAATCGGAATGAAATTTCGATCCGATTGAAGGGGGTGGTTTATTCCTTTTCTAATACGATTGAGAGTGCATGTAAACACTTGATTGGATTGAACCCCGAAACTGAAAGGACTGCGTGTGCAGAGACGCAGAAATAGCGTTATGACGTGTGGAACGAACAGCTCTTCCTTTTGAATAAAGTGTTGTATAAATGCGTGTCCTGTCATTATAAAACTTTCCTTACAGTGGAGCAGGACAATGTTCCACCGATTCTCATCCACAGGCAACCCGTTTTGGGTGTGGGGAGGGGCATTTTTACTGCGTGATAAATATTAGCAGCACGGCACAGCGGTTTATATGTATATTTATCCATAAATGGATAAATATTAATTCTGCTGTTAAAAACAAATAAAGAAACCGTGTAGGAGAGTGGTTATTATGTGCAAACAGTGAAAATTATATATTTGTGCAGTGTGCGCATGTCATGTGCATGTTCAGATTCATCAATCGGAATGAATTCAGTCCGATTGAACCAAAAATTGTGAATGTAAACGTAGCCACTGACAGAAAAAATAGATATGTTACCCTTGACCATAAAACCAGTCATAAGGATTCAAGATTTATCCATTGATGTATGGTTTGTTATGATATGACAATATTTGGCCGAGATACAACTACCGGTATTTGAAAATCTGGATTCTGAGGGTGCAGAAAAGGAAAAACTGACTGTGCTTTTGCCATTCACAGGTTGCCATGAAGTACATCCACAAGCATGAAACTGACCGCTGTCTTGACATTGTAAGTTGACAAATCTAAGAATAATTTTGGTTGATTGAGTGACTATTGCTGTGCTGTAAATACTTGTAGCTAACATAAAGCAAAGGAAATGGACAACAAAGATGTAAGTGCAAATCTAAATACAATGATGTTCATCATTCTACAGATCTTCTAAGTAATGAGTTACTCAAAGCCAACTGTTTGTTTTTCTCTAGGCTGGTTATTCCAAACCCGTAATTGCAGAAGTGGCTATGTTGCTTAGGTTGGGAGAACCTCCATTATGTCCCAACATCATCAAATTACACCACTGGATTGAGAATAAGAGGAGCTTCGTGCTCATTATGGAGTACCCGCAACCATGCTGTACCTTGCATCAGTACATCACATATTCAGATGACGGGAATGAAGGAAAAGCACGCTGGTTAATCTGTCAGTTAGTCCAAGCTGTGAAACACTGCATTGACCGTGGAGTCTTCCATGGTGATATCCACACGGGGAACATCCTGGTGACTGACCACAATTTGGAGCTCAAACTAATTGACTTTGGTTGTGCTTATCCAATCAGCAGTGAGGGCGTTCTCAGCAGTGTATATCGAGGTATGTTTCGTGTTCCCATAGCAGAGTGCAGTGTCATTGATCACAGTATTGTCTTTTTGATAACAGCATTGCTCAACACTTTCTCTTACTCTCTTACAGGAGCACCACTCTACACCCCACCTGAGGTCATAGGGCATACCAAATTCTACGCTGAACCAGTGGGCAATAGGGCAATAGGTGTTGTGCTGTTTGAAATCTTGCACGGGTATTTGCCATTTGGAAGCCAAGACGAAATACTGCGTGACTATGTTAAAGCGAAACTGACTTTATCCTCAGGTAAACGCAACAGACACCTCTTTACAGTCTCTGAGTCTCAGTGGCTATGTTTACATGCAACCAAATGATTGATGGCTCAATCGGACTGAAAAGCCTTCATGTAAACATCTTAATCGATCCGATTGAGCTCAATCGGAATGAAATTTCGATCCGATTGAAGGGGGTGGTTTATTCCTTTTCTAATACGATTGAGAGTGCATGTAAACACTTGATTGGATTGAACCCCGAAACTGAAAGGACTGCGTGTGCAGAGACGCAGAAATAGCGTTATGACGTGTGGAACGAACAGCTCTTCCTTTTGAATAAAGTGTTGTATAAATGCGTGTCCTGTCATTATAAAACTTTCCTTACAGTGGAGCAGGACAATGTTCCACCGATTCTCATCCACAGGCAACCCGTTTTGGGTGTGGGGAGGGGCATTTTTACTGCGTGATAAATATTAGCAGCACGGCACAGCGGTTTATATGTATATTTATCCATAAATGGATAAATATTAATTCTGCTGTTAAAAACAAATAAAGAAACCGTGTAGGAGAGTGGTTATTATGTGCAAACAGTGAAAATTATATATTTGTGCAGTGTGCGCATGTCATGTGCATGTTCAGATTCATCAATCGGAATGAATTCAGTCCGATTGAACCAAAAATTGTGAATGTAAACGTAGCCACTGACAGAAAAAATAGATATGTTACCCTTGACCATAAAACCAGTCATAAGGATTCAAGATTTATCCATTGATGTATGGTTTGTTATGATATGACAATATTTGGCCGAGATACAACTACCGGTATTTGAAAATCTGGATTCTGAGGGTGCAGAAAAATCTAAATATTGAGAAAATTGCCTTTAAAGTTGTCCAAATTAAGTTCTTAGCAATGCATATTACTAATCAAAAATTAAGTTTTGATATTTACGGTAGGAAATTTACAAATATCTTCATGGAACTCTTTCGGAGAGTATGGAAAGCTGTAAAGCGCCCTTTCCTTTGCTGCGACCCGAACAGTGTGGTGTATCTTACACCACAGCCAGACCTAGACGGTTCGGAGCTAATGCCCACCCCCAGTCTCTTCAGAATCACCCCAATGGCTGACACAGATCCTGCCGACCCTGAGCTGGTGTGTCTGCCAGGCCAGGTCTGTGAAGATGTTGAGTCGTTGTGTGTGCCAGGTCTCTCCAGGACTGAGCAAACGTCGGACACAGATCTGGCCATTCCTGAGTCGCCTGTGGCAGATCCGTCCAGTTCTGACCTGGGTGACGGTGAGTCACCATCTTTTATTTTCTGTTCTACTATTACTTGCAGTTGGAATCCTGTTTCACTGCCAGTAACTGCTTAAAAATCCAACCATGACTTTTGTTGTAGTATTTTCATTTTTAATTGTATTAATTAGTAGCTGCAGCTCTAGTATTCATTCACAGAGATGTTTCTTAATAGTTTATTGACTTTTCTTCATTTTAGAAAAACCTAAAAAGGGGAGGAAAAGGAAAGCAGTCCATGCGCTCTTCCGGAGTTTCCGTAAGGCCGTAAAGCATCTCTTCCTCTGCTGCGACTCGACTCGATTGCCTGTTCAAGTTCCATCTGAGATCCCTGTTGAGCCTGAGCCAGGCTGTCTGACCAGGTCTAACCAGGTCTGTGCAGCTCTCCAGTCCTCCCAGTCTGTGCAAGCCACTCCAGAGTTGTTGCATGTGTCAGATTCATCAGATTCGGCGATCAGTCTGGATTGTGGTGAGTTGTCATTACCTTTTGAAATTTCTGCCCTTTTATTTTTGGCATTCTTTTCTACTTATCATTATTTAGGTTGTAAATCTGATACTCTTAACTTTCCTTGCAGTAGCTGCTTGTACCTGATTTACAGTGGAACTGAATTCAAAGGATAGGATTCTTTAAAGATTTTTTAAATGGATCTTATTCTTTAAATCGGGTCTATTTGATCTGTTCATATCAGACAATAAAAGGAAAGTGCAGCCTCATGTATGTCCATGTTTTTTTTTTCCTGTGTGTTTATCAGGACATAGAGTGTCTCTCTTTGTGGTGGGAGAGCTTCTAGGATGCGGAAGTTTTGGCAAGGTGTATGAGGGAACCCACATATTTGGCGATAGAATTAAGGTAAAGCACTTTTATTGACTTGAACCAACATTTTGCTCCATATGTAGAAATGTGTGTCCACTGTCTTGATTTAAACGGATTGTAGATGTGCATGTCTGGCACTTTGGTATGCTTGGAAAAACTGACTGTGCTTTTGCCATTCACAGGTTGCCATGAAGTACATCCACAAGCATGAAACTGACCGCTGTCTTGACATTGTAAGTTGACAAATCTAAGAATAATTTTGGTTGATTGAGTGACTATTGCTGTGCTGTAAATACTTGTAGCTAACATAAAGCAAAGGAAATGGACAACAAAGATGTAAGTGCAAATCTAAATACAATGATGTTCATCATTCTACAGATCTTCTAAGTAATGAGTTACTCAAAGCCAACTGTTTGTTTTTCTCTAGGCTGGTTATTCCAAACCCGTAATTGCAGAAGTGGCTATGTTGCTTAGGTTGGGAGAACCTCCATTATGTCCCAACATCATCAAATTACACCACTGGATTGAGAATAAGAGGAGCTTCGTGCTCATTATGGAGTACCCGCAACCATGCTGTACCTTGCATCAGTACATCACATATTCAGATGACGGGAATGAAGGAAAAGCACGCTGGTTAATCTGTCAGTTAGTCCAAGCTGTGAAACACTGCATTGACCGTGGAGTCTTCCATGGTGATATCCACACGGGGAACATCCTGGTGACTGACCACAATTTGGAGCTCAAACTAATTGACTTTGGTTGTGCTTATCCAATCAGCAGTGAGTGCGTTCTCAGCAGTGTATATCGAGGTATGTTTCGTGTTCCCATAGCAGAGTGCAGTGTCATTGATCACAGTATTGTCTTTTTGATAACAGCATTGCTCAACACTAAAAATGTTTCTCTTACAGGAGCACCACTCTACACCCCACCTGAGGTCATAGGGCATACCAAATTCTACGCTGAACCAGCATATGTCTGGGCAATAGGTGTTGTGCTGTTTGAAATCTTGCACGGGTATTTGCCATTTGGAAGCCAAGACGAAATACTGCGTGACTATGTTAAAGCGAAACTGACTTTATCCTCAGGTAAACGCAACAGACACCTCTTTACAGTCTCTGAGTCTCAGTGGCTATGTTTACATGCAACCAAATGATTGATGGCTCAATCGGACTGAAAAGCCTTCATGTAAACACCTTAATCGATCCGGATTGAAGGGAGTGGTTTATTCCTTTTCTAATACGATTGAGAGTGCATGTAAACACTTGATTGGATTGAACCCCGAAACTGAAAGGACTGCGTGTGCAGAGACGCAGAAATAGCGTTATGACGTGTGGAACGAACAGCTCTTCCTTTTGAATAAAGTGTTGTATAAATGCGTGTCCTGTCATTATAAAACTTTCCTTACAGTGGAGCAGGACAATGTTCCACCGATTCTCATCCACAGGCAACCCGTTTTGGGTGTGGGGAGGGGCATTTTTACTGCGTGATAAATATTAGCAGCACGGCACAGCGGTTTATATGTATATTTATCCATAAATGGATAAATATTAATTCTGCTGTTAAAAACAAATAAAGAAACCGTGTAGGAGAGTGGTTATTATGTGCAAACAGTGAAAATTATATATTTGTGCAGTGTGCGCATGTCATGTGCATGTTCAGATTCATCAATCGGAATGAATTCAGTCCGATTGAACCAAAAATTGTGAATGTAAACGTAGCCACTGACAGAAAAAATAGATATGTTACCCTTGACCATAAAACCAGTCATAAGGATTCAAGATTTATCCATTGATGTATGGTTTGTTATGATATGACAATATTTGGCCGAGATACAACTACCGGTATTTGAAAATCTGGATTCTGAGGGTGCAGAAAAATCTAAATATTGAGAAAATCGCCTTTAAAGTTGTCCAAATTAAGTTCTTAGCAATGCATATTACTAATCAAAAATTAAGTTTTGATATTTACGGTAGGAAATTTACAAATATCTTCATGGAACATGATCTTTACTTGATGTCCTAATGATTTTTGGCATAAAAGAACAATCTATAATTTTGACCCATACAATGTATTTTTGGCTATTGCTACAAATATACCCCAGCGACTTAAGGCTGGTTTTGTGGTCTAGGTTCCCATATGTCAGACAGGATATAACAGGAAGTCTAGCAAGTAACAAATGTTTACCAATGTGACTGTAGACATAATTATTTAATTGGGGATATTTATATGATCTAATAATGACATTTTATATGGTAAAACATTTACTCTTCAAAAGCTTTTTCATATGTCAACATTGATGTTGGTTAAGACTAACCCGCACTCTCCCTCTGAAAACTTTACAGCATGCCATGACCTGATTTTCCAGTGTTTGATCCGCAATCCAGCAAACAGACTGATGCTACAGCATCTAGAAGAGCACAGGTGGTTTATGAACTAGATTGCAAGAAGACAGCAGATCCCATGCATCGGTTAGACGAGAAAAGGTAGTGAAACACTCTGTTCCCTCTTGCTCATTGGAAGAGTTATGAACATGGAGACGAGAACTAGACACAAACTAGTACACAAACTTTTTTATAGTTCAACTGTTTAATTTGCACTGGCATATTGTAAGAGGTGGTACAGAGATTCATCCAATTAGAATTTTAGATTACATAATATAGTGATGAAAAGGAATTAACAAAATCCATATATAGAGGCTTTCTGGTACAAAAGATATCCCTCTCCATCTGTGCCTCGCGGACCAGAAGACAAGCTTAATGAACCCCACTTTTACAATCTCCATCTACCCCTTGCACTTCAATACATGAGTAGTAGATATCAGGAAATCAAAAAAGCAAATGTGAATATACACAGAGAGAGAGAGAAAAGTCAGGCTGAGCTTATTATTTCTTTTCTTTCATTTTTCTTTATTTTAGAAAAACCTGCAAAAGGGAGGAAGGGGAAAGAAGTCTGTGCTCTCTGTCGGAGAGTATGGAAGGCTGTAAAGCTGCCAAAGATTGGTGTGTCTTACACCACAGCCAGACCTAGACGGTTCAGAGCTAATGCCTGCCCCGAGTCCCTTCAGAATCACACCAATGGCTGACACAGATCCTGCCGACCCTGAGCTTGTGTGTCTGCCAGGGTCTGTGAAGATGTTGAGTCGATGTGTCTGCTAGGTCCCTCCAGGACTGAGCAAACGGCAGATGCAGATCTGGCCAATCCTGAGTCGTCACCTGTTGCAGATCCATCCAGTTCTGACCTGGGTGACGGTGAGCCATCATTACTTTGGTTCGTGTTATTTCTACCATTTTTAATGTTCTATGTTCTCTATCATTACTTGTAGTTGTAATTCTGATTCACTGCTAGTAACTGCTTAAAAATCCAACAATGACTTCTGTTGTATTATTTTCACTTTTAATTGTATTAATTATGCCGCTTTTCCACTGCATGGTACAGCTCTGCTCGGTTTGGTTTGCGTTTCCACTGCAGTTTAGTACCGCTTAAGAGTGGGCGGGATTATAGACATGACGTTATAGTTGTGCTGCCTCTACTGCCGCAACCGCCTGAAAAAGTCCCATCAAGCTCTTGCTGGATCCGCTCCTCAGCTATCAATGAGAGGAACATCTGTACTTCAAAAAACAGTTTACATTTTACATTGTCTTGTTCGATCCTCGTTGGCTGTGCTGATTTAATCTAGCGGGTCTAGTGTCTCATGTTCAATGATGCAGGTAGTGGCGATTCTCTCTGGCAAATCAGTGATCAGCAGGGTTTACACATGTCACATTTGGTTAATGGTACGGCTCGTAAAAAGTACCAGGTACTGTGCACAGTGGAAAACCCCCCAAAAGTGAGCCGTGCCATACCATGCAGTGGAAAAGCGCCATTAGTAGCTGCAGCTCTAATAAACATTCACAGAGATGTTTCTAATAGTTTATTCATTTTTCTTCTTTTTAGAAAAACGTAGAAAAGCGAGGAAGAGGAAGGCAGTCAATGTGTTCTTCCGGAGATACGGTAAGGCCGTAAAGGCCTTTGCTGCAACTCGAACAGAGTCAAGTCAAGTCAAGTCACCTTTATTTATATAGCGCTTTTAACAATACAGATTGTGTCAAAGCAACTGAACAGCATTAATTAGGAAAATAGTGTCAATAATGCAAAGTGACAATAGTAAACACTCATTTTTCAGTTAAAGACAGTTCATCATTGAATTCAGTGATGTCAACATCCAGCTCAGTTTAAATAATATCTTTGCAATTATGTCAACGATATCGCCGGAAATGAAGTGTCCCCAACTAAGCAAGCCAGAGGCGACAGCGGCAAGGAACCAAAACTCCATCGGTGACAGAATGGAGAAAAAACCTTGGGAGAAACCAGGCTCAGTCGGGGGGCCAGTTCTCCTCTGACCAGACGAACCAGCAGTACGGAAAAATCAATTGCTGGATCCTCCTCCCTCACCACCCTCGATGGTGGGGCAGCTAGGGGGTTACAAGGGTCCCCCCGGTGGAGCGGTCGGTTGCGATGCAGTTTTGTCCTAATACCGCCTCCAACCGGCAGGGAGAACCGTGCCTCCCCTCCCGGGTCTGTAGGTACTCGACTGGCCAGCGATGCCTATACGACCTGTGGAGAAGCTGCCTCCGCCTTACACGCTACGACGTGATTGCAAGTGCACCAGGCCAAGGCACTGAGGGATTTGCACGAGGGTGGTCACGACCCGGAAGTTCGCAGGGAGCACCGCGGTGGACCTCGCGCCAAGAGCTATCCCAAGCTGCGCTCCCAGGAGAATGGCGACTCCATCCCCAGACGGTCCAGCTGGTTTGGGGACGTTTCAGAGCCGCTCAGGTAGACCTGTTTGCCTCTCCAGAAACCTCTCGCTGCCAGTTGTTCTTCGCCCTGACCGAGGGAACACTCGGCACGGATGCACTGGCACACAGCTGGCCACGGGGCCTTCGCAAGTATGCATTTCCCCCAGTGAGCCTTCTGGCACAGTTGCTGTGCAAGGTCAGGGAGGACGAGGAGCAGGTCCTGCTGGTGGCACCCTATTGGCCTTCCCGGACCTGGTTCCCAGAACTAATGCTCCTCGCGACAGCCCCTCCTTGGCCGATTCCTCTGAGAACGGATTTACTGACTCAGAGACGGGGCACCCTTTGGCACCCGCCTCCAGACCTCTGGAAACTTCATGTCCGGTCCCTGGAC